AAAAAAAAGAAAAAAAAAAACACTGACGGGGTCCCGGGCTCCAGGCCCGGCATGTTTACACACGTCAAGCCATTTCGCGTGATGAATTCACAGAGAGTGTTCCTTCCACGAAGCAGGGTGGGGAGGTTCACGACGTGTTACCACAGCAAACAATGGTACGTCCCCAGTTTCAAGTCTAAAGACGCTAAGGCCCTGAGAGACTGTGTGACCTGCCCAAGATGGTGAGCCCAGAGTCAGACCCCACGGAGAACAGGGGTCTCCCGACACCAGATCCCGGGATCTCTCTCCCGGCTGGAAATGCTTCCTCAGGACAGCCGAGGAAGGGAAACCAGAACTAGGCAGCTCTGACTTGAGTACAATGAAAGCCATCACCAAGGACTCCTCAAGCAGGAAGCGAACACATCAAACTCCCTCTTGGTTTTTGGGATCTCAGATCTTGGCCGTGAGTGACAAGGGAGGCTCCTGGTCTTCCAGATAACCAGGAAAGAGGGTGTTGTTGGTGAGGGAATGTGCCAGCCCACGGAACGGGAAGCCCAGGGGCGGGTGGACATCAGGCCCGGTTAACCCGGGGAGTCACAGTGTCCCCGATGCCACTCACGCTCTGCCCAGGCACCAACAGCATTGTTGGCTTAGGGCTTACTCCCTTTGTGGCCTCAAGGTGGCTGCCGGCAACAACGGGGCCTCCCTGTCCCTTCACAAGAGAGAGACTGACTTCCTGCAGCTCTGCTTTCCACTCAAGCCCCAGAACGGCTTCCCATGTCCGTCCGTTCTAGAACCATCACTGCCAAACCGAGGCACTACACCAGGACCAAGCTGGCCCAGCCTATGGCCAGGTCTCTGGCTGGGAACCACTATGCTCTTGGCGGGGTGAGGGGTCGGCTTTTGGGGAGCTCAGCCTCAATACCCTCCACGGGGGGGGGGCAAATTTAACTGAAAACTGGTCTCCCACAAACAGCATGCCTCTCTAGTGTGGTCCAGGCCTGGGCAGAAGGCTGACATGATCCCCACGCAGCTAGCTCAAAACATGAGGACAATTCCATGCCATGGAATCCACCCCACTGTTGGGTTCAGACAGGCCTGCGACAGTCTCCTGACCCTACCAACTCCTTGTCCCAGCCGCTGCTTCATTTGCTCAGCCACACGATCCGTGGGGATAGGCACATGGCTCTGAAATCACGTGGAATGCACAAGAATGGCAAGCATATTGGGGTCAGGGAAACAGAGGCATCTTTCCTCCTGGGGATCCAAGAGGCACGCGTATATGACAGAGGTTCATGGCTGAGATGCTCGAGGGAGGAAAAGCTGGAACTGGGGTCCTAGCAGGAAAGCGTGCCCTCAAGCACCTTCACCTTCAGGCACCTGGGAGTGACCACTGCCACCTCCCCTGGGCTGTGAGCCCCCACATCTGGCCCCTCACTGCCTGCCCAGAGCCACACCCAGCAGAGGGCAGGCCCCTAAACACTGCTACATGAAGGGGGAGGAAGCGGTTTGTAGACCAGACTAGCCTAGAGACGCCCACTTCACTCACCCCAAAGCTGAGCTCTGTGGCTGCAGCAAGGGAACAGAGCCAGGAAGCATCCTTCCTGGGCCATATCTGGCTCTTGAGAAAAGTCTAAATACACAGAGACTTCCTGGCACTCTCCCACCCCTGGCGGTCCCTTTCTCAAAGGTCCAGGTCCTTCTACTGTCCTGAGAGACTCAACTGTACTGCTCTCCCCAACACCCAGCCAACCTTTCAAAGTTCTCTCTGTCCCAAGGTGGTCAGCACCCATGCTTAGTGATGACAACAACACTCTATCAGCTGAGCTGAGCCAAGAGTTAAAGGTGGGGGGGGAGGGCGGGTAGGCTGCTCTGACTAATTCATACCAAGGTGTGAATGACTAACAAAAATCTAAACTCTTCCCAAAGTATTTGAGATTTTACAAGAGGAGATTCAGGAACTCAAGCAGGACTCCCACTGGCAAAGATGACATTTAACTGGAAACCTAAAGAATGAGAAGGAGTCAGCCATAAGAAGAGCAGGAGGGAGATATTCTAGATAAAGAACACAGCCAATACAAATCCTGTGAGGCGAGAAAAAAAAATGACCTGCTTAAGGAACAGGAAGTAGACCAGAGCCACTGGGGTGTAATGAGTGAGCATTTGTGGGCCAAATGACCAAGTGGAACAGATATTTGTGCACCTGGGTCTTCTGCAAATTCTCAGCATCTGTTATCTGCTCATGAAGTTCTTCCAGGAACCTTATAAATTATACCCGTGCCACTGATTAAATGCCTCCAACAGACCAAGCACTGTGCTGGATATTTTCTGTATTAGCATAATCACTGATCATCCCAACAGTAATAATGTGAGATAAGTTATTATTATTTCTCTCTTTACAAAGGGAGAAAGTGAAGCTCAGAAAGGTTTAATAACTTGTCCAAGATTACAAAGCGTGAGAAGAGTCAGAAGCAGGATTTGAATGTAAGTCTAACTGACATTCAACTCTGCAACCTACCCTGCTCTGAGCACAAAATGCAAGATGCAACGCTGGGCAAGTCTGTTTTCATGCACGGAGGCCAGAAATCTCATATAATTCTAATTCTAACAATTACAGTGATTGCTTCCTCTTCTAGACCCTACCCTCCCTGAGGACAGGAATTTCCGATCTCGCTCCTCTCTGCATCCCAGCCCCTGAGCCCTATGCCCTACACATACTGGCACTCGGTTTGGGATGTGGAGAAGGTCAAGCCTCGGTTTCTTCTATAAAGTGGGACTGTGGGTAGGCGAGACCTTGTGTGAGGCCCCAGCACAGGTAGGTGTTCAACATACTTCAGCTGTCAGTTAACAATTTACAGTTCCCAGGCGGCCCCTTCATCCACCATCCCGCCTGCCCCTCACAGAAACCCTAAGACCGCAATTGTGGGCAGGATGGTACTATTCACTCCCACTCTACAGATGGGGAAACCAAGACTTAGTGAGAAGAGTTTCCCCTCAATAGCACAGCGCTCCCTTCTGGAATATAGGCTGCCCAAGGGCAGAATCATGGTCTAGTCCCCAGGGCTGAAACAGTGACTGGCACATAGTAGGTGTTCAGTAAATATTTGTTGAATGAATGAAGAGGGGAAAAAAACATCACTTCTTTGTCAAACGATGCACTTCCCCCTTGCTCTCCTCTGCTAAGAGCTGGTAAATCTCTGGAAGAAAGCTGGAAAGCGAGCCTCTGGGGGGTTGGGGGGTGGGGATCTGGCATTGGATTTTTTTTTCCTGGATCCCTCTTCGTCTCCGGGGAGGGGGTGGGATGAAGAAGGAATTAATGTTTGCAAACGTCCACTATGGGTCAGGCACAGGGCTTTTTACTTTTAATCACAGGGTCCTACGTCCCGTCCCATCATCCTCAACGTAGAGATGAGAAAACAGAGGCTTCCGGCAAAAAGCCAGACCGGGATGCCCTGCCAAGATCTCCTCTCAGCCAGAGCCAGACCACTGGGGCACCTGCCAACAACCCAGAGGCTTCTCTCACCCTCTGCGCTGGCTCTCGGCAGCCTGCGAGCAGAAGAAAACACCCCGACTCACGCTGATTCCTCCTCAGCCTCACCAAGGCAGGCCACAAAGGGCCGCTTTCAGCTCCCCGGGCCCCTGAAAGCCCTAGCTTGGGGGCTGAGCCCTCACCCAGCCAGGCAGCCCTGCCCCCTTTCCCCCCTCCCCCATCAGCAAAGCGTGACTCAGCGGTTCTCCTGCGAGGGGCGGGAAGCGCCACCCCTCAGCATCCCTCCGCCCAGGTTACACAAACAGCCTCAGCTCTCCGGGACTAGACGCGGGGGTCCCGCCCCGCGCTGGCCCCGCGCTCCCCGGCCTCCGCAGGGCTCGGGCTACCGCTTGGCCTCATTTCCGGCGGAGCCAGGCACTAGAGCCGCGGACACCACCCGGGAGTCTAGTCACCGCCGCCAAGCCCACACAGGTTCCCTGACACAGGCACCCACGCGCGCCAGCCCCGCGGAACTCCATGCGCAGGGCCCCTCCCACTGGGCACCCACCAGGGGACCTCTTGCTACCAACCCACCAACACTTATGCGGCCAGTTCTGCGGCCCCTAGGGAAGGTGCAGCCCGACCCTAACCCGGGAAGGTCTCCAGCCCAAGTGTCCCCACTGCTGCATGCTGACACCCCGCGGCTAGCTGTCCCCATCCTCAATAGAGGATTCGCTCCGCGGGCCCCTGGCTGCGGCTTGGGAGCTGTCCCCCACCATTCTCTGGGCAAGGTGGAGTAGAGGGACCTTTGGAAGTCACTGGCCCATCAGCGCTGACCAGCTGGATTCTGCCACCTCGGGGTGGGGGTTGGGCTTGGGCCTGTTAGGCCAATTTGGGGGATTTCAAATGCAGGGCGCGTTTGGGATGGCATGTCCCACTTTTTTGGGAAAATTCTGGACAGTTTGGGGCCAGCTCCTTCTGTCTCAGTATAACTCACTGGGAATAAAAGACCAAACCCAAACGGCCGCCTTCTCCCACCCACGAGGGGCCCCTGCCTCTGGAGGCACAAGGAGGGGCCCAGGACAGCGAGCCTCTGGGGGAAAGGGGGGCGAAATCTGGCATTGGATTTTTTTTTCCTGGATCCCTCTTCTTCTCCGGGGAGTGGGCAGCCTAGAAAATTCTGTGGGCTTCGGACAGGGATGAAATGGCAAACCCAGGATTCTAAGCCACTACATTTCCCCAGATTTCTTCACCACATTAGCCGCAGGAATGGCCTTTTTACAAATGATGGCCAGGGCTGATTCAGGATGCCACCAGGCCTGGGGGTTGGAAGCTGCCTGCCGGAGGGCGGCGCGGAGGAGGGCGCTGGGCAGCGGAGGCCGGCGCCCTCGGGCTCCCTCCCTCCCGGACCCGGGGCAGGGTGGGGTAGGGGGGGGGGGGGGGGGGGGAAACGACACACAGCGCGCGGTCCAAACCTTCGGAGGGCATTCGGTGCGACGGCATCCCCACGCCGCGGCCGGCCGGAGGGGGCCTCAGACAACACGTACGTTACCTTCAGTCACATAGCTGTGGTCCCGCAGGAAGCTGTGGTTAATTTTCCGCGTGTCCGTGTCCTCGCCCATTGAAGGCCGTGCCCGGTGCCCTGGGCATGCCCCGCCGCCGCACACCGATGCAATCCGCAGAGGTCGCGCCGGGCGCGCGGGCCATGCCGCCGCAGCCTAGCAGGGGCGCGGGCCGCCGGGGCCCCGGGGGGCGGGCATCGCGGCCGGGGGCGGCCGGGGACGGGCGGGGCGGCCGGGGCGGGCGCC